GAAAGTGCAACTAAGTAACATAAAGGGCGTCCTATGGTATCCTATGCCCCAGGCAGTAGACAGGTCATCAATCAATCCACGCACTTAAACCACCACTAACTTCCATGCATCTATATTGCGAGATCTAGTCCGAAACGGGAACACCTCTCGGAGTTCCTGTGATTCGCTTGTTTATCCAGGCCACTGAAGTGGCATGCAGTAAGGCAGCCTTGCGGGTCTCTGCCACTGAATAGATATGCCTATATATAGGCTTATAATGGAATCAAACCCACGGAGGATTGATCTTGGGGTTGAGGCACCCATAACTCCCATAACTCCCAGGATTAGAGGGCATATACAAGGTGCTACTGCCAACGTCCGCGCATTGGACATTGTGCTCGTCTTGGATGCATACAACATCAGACGGCAAAGACATATACCAGACTAGCTGGCTATCAAGAGCATGTTTTGGGCAAGTTGATGTCAAGTGCGACTAGATCTAGTTCCGCCAGATCTTAATCGCCTTGTCTTTGCCTCCACTGGCGATCTTTTGTCCATCGGGACTCCAGTCGACGGCAAACACCTCGTCCTTGTGTCCTGGAAGGTCCATCTTGAGCTTGCCGGTGCGCAGGTCCCAAATCTTGAGAGTAGTGTCCTTAGACGAGGATACTAGCATCCGCGAGTCTGCTGAAAAACAGCACTGATAGACTGCGCCCACGTGGCCGCGGAAGGTGGTGATGAACCTGAGGCCATGTTAGCTATAAATCAACAATCAAAAATTGGAAATACTCACTTTCCATCACGGCCGTTCCATAGTTTGACATGGTTGTCGAATCCGGCTGAGGCGATATAGGCCATGTCAGGCGAGAACGTGACATGGTTCACCTCTTTTTGATGGCCCAGCATCCGTGCGACGGGCTTGCTCGAAGTGGACGGCTCCCAAAGATACATTGTGAAATCGTCACTGGCCGATACCAACCGCTCGACGATAGTGCTGTTCACCGTCGCCGCCTCCTCAAACTTCTTGCGCGCAGCGGCCACCTTCTCAGCCTCGGTCGCAGGGACCTTGCCAGTGTGGTCGTGGTAGGAGGTGCGAAGAGCAAAGTCTGTCGACAGCGCAAGGTGATTGACACGGTGGGCATGCGCCGCCAGGGTCTGGAGTAGCGTGCCGTCTTTGGGATTCCAGATCTTAATGGTCTTATCGTGGGATGCAGTATAGATCTTGCCAGTACCACCCCATCGCACGCAAGTAACCGACGACTTGTGGCCGGTGAGCACATGGTCAGTTACTCTCGAGACGACGTCCCACACGCGCACCGTCGAGTCCTTGGAGGCAGACGCCAGACGCGGCCGTCCGGACTCCTGCACGTGGTATGGCTCCCAGGCCAGATTCGTGATCCATTTTGCGTGTCCCTTGAGTCCTCCGCCTAGTGCTGTGCCCTGCTTTGCATCCCAGAACCTCACGGTGTTATCCATGCTGCCGGTCGCGATCATGGCGCCGTTCGGCGAGTATGCGACTGCCAGCACCCAGCTAGTGTGGCCCTTGAGCGTATGTTTCGGGGTTCCAGTGTCACAGTCCCAGACACGAGCAGTTGAGTCTCCGCTTCCGGAGACCATGGTAGAGGACGAGACTGGGGAGAAGGATGTTGCTAGAATTGCTTCGCCGTGGCCCGCGATGGAGGCCGCGCATCGTGAAACGGCTTTCACTCGGAAAACCGCCTGCGGTGTGTAGAAGAGCGATACCGTATCTTCAGTGGTCTTGATCCCGGGCTGGAGTAGGGAGTGGTACACATCGCGGAGAATGTCGATCGTTTGTTCCTCTTTTTCAGAATGGTAGGCAAATCGGTATGGTACTCGCCCATCATCCTCCTGGAAAGAAATCGTCGTCAATACAACATTGAATTGTCAAGTAGCCACGAGGTTCGAATCTTACATTTCCTTGTAATGTGTTTAGCAGAGTCTCGAGGTTCTTCACATTGGCATCGGCGACTGGGACTGAGACCGCAGGCCCGGTGGGCTGCCCGGTTGCCTGGTCGAAGAATTGAACTCGAACACTACCCAAATCGGACGGGATACTCTCAATTTCCTGCTGCTCACGGGCCTTATCAGCCTGAACTAGCTTTTGGCGCTTGCTGGGGGGAGGATACAGGGTCGCCATGGTTATTGATATTGAATTTGAGGTCGATGGGGGAGGAAGAGAAATTTTGACAAGCAAAAAATATCCCGACGCTTATCTTATCGGCCCTATCAATTTATCCATCTACATACACCATCTCGGCCATGAGAGTTGGGCTTCACAATGTCGGTTTATTCATTGAATTCATTGAATTTTCTGGAATCTTTTTCGCCATCGGCCTCCAGAAGCACAAGTCGACGTCCAACGGCAAGACCGACCACAACGGCCACCAGTGTCGCAGCACAGGACATCATCTGCGCCGTCAGTGAATCGCGGGGCGTCTCATCCACCGTTGGCCTCGCATTTGTCAACCTTGCAACAGCTGAAGCAGTGCTCTGTCAGATATGTGACAGCCAGACTTACGTCAAGACAATCATCAAGATTGGTGTTTTTGAACCCAGCGAGATTCTGTTCATGAACACTGCAAAAGAGTCCAAGCTCCGTTATATCATCCAAGAGAATCTGCCAGATCCTATCTTCACCTTCCTGGACCGTAGATGGTGGTCTGAAAAGACGGGTCACGAGTATATGGACCGGCTGGCTTTTCCAGAGGAAGTCGACTCGCTCAAGGGGACTCTGGGCGGGAACTATTTCGCAGCATGTTGCTTTGCCGCTGTATGAACACCATTCATGTTGCCAAAAGGAACTACTCACATAGGAATTAGGTCCTCAAGTATGTTGAGGTCGAACTCCAGCGAGCTTTTACCGCGCATTCTCTTCGGATACGCTTCGAACCGTCCCAGGGTTCCATGACAATTGACTTGGCGACTATTGTATCCCTCGAACTTATCCAGAACCTACAGAATGCGAAGTCTAACGAAAGTTTGTTTGGACTGTTGAATGAGACATTGGCGCCTATGGGAGCCAGACTGCTCCGAGCTAGCATCTTACAGCCTTCAACAGAACGAGTCAAGTTGACAGCCAGATACAATGCTGTGGAAGATCTGGCCACCAAAGAGGATATGTTCGTCTCTGTAAGGCAAGCGCTAAAGGGCTTCGTTGATGCAGATAAAGTGTTGACTGCGGTAGAGTGTCTAAAGCTAGCCAGAATTCAAGACTCGTGCTAACGGATTATCAAGATCATCTTGGTTCCCACCAAGCGAACAATCCAATACGTCGAGCAGTCCGTCAACAATGTCATCATGCTCAAGACTTATGTTTCTGCGATCAAAAATATCTTCCAAGCGCTTGGAGCAGCACAAAGTGATTTGCTGCTTACCATACGCGAAGTAGACTCTACATCCCTTTGGTGTTTACCCAGACTAATGCAATTTAGTTGTGCGCTCCTGAGGGACATCGTTCAATTGAAGAGCTGATTGACGCAACTTTGAATGAGCATGTAGCCTACCAGTCAAAGCCACTTGATCTGAGGAACCAGCGCATTTACTGTGTCAAGGTCAGAACTCGTACACTTCTACAATGGATACAGATCGCTAACATGAATCAGGCCGGCGTTAACAGTCTCCTCGATGTTGCGAGGCAGACCTATAAGGAGGCAAATGCAGACGCCACAGAGCTGATTGAAAAGTTATCAGGCACGTCTGGAAATATGACGGTTCATGAATGATTCTGACCTATCTCAGAAAATTGCGATATGGTCTTGGACTTGAAGTATGACACAGCCCGGCAATACTACATCTGTATCCCTGCTACGAAATCAGGTCCACTGCCAGACATTTTTATCAACGTCTACCGCAAGCGAAACCGCATCGAGTGCCAGACATTGGATTTGGTCAAACTCAATCAAAAGATCACCGATGCCCACAGTGAGGTGATCAATATGAGCGACCAGACAATCCAGGACCTGCTCCGAGACGTGTGCAGTGAAGTATCAGGGCTTTTTCGAGTCAGTGAAGCGATTGCGATGCTAGACATGCTCGGAGCATTCGCTCAGCTAGCAACGAACCATGAGTACATCAGACCAGAGCTGACCGACACTCTCGCCATCAAAGCGGGACGTCATCCGATCCGAGAACAGATTCATAGCAGCAAATTCATCCCAAACGACGCATATGCAACGCCGCAAACTAGATTCCAAATCATCACAGGCTGCAACATGAGCGGAAAATCGACCTACATCCGCTCACTAGCCCTGTGTACAGTCATGGCGCAGATAGGCTGCTTCGTCCCAGCTCAGTACGCCTCCTTCCCAATCTCCCACCAGCTCTTCGCCCGCGTCGCCACATCAGATGATCTAGACGCCAACGTCTCGACCTTCGCGGCAGAGATGCGGGAGATGGCATTCATCCTTCGTAACATCCAGCCACGCAGTATGGTCATCATCGACGAGCTAGGCCGCGGCACTAGCACAACCGACGGCCTTGCCATTGCCGTCGCGCTAGCAGAAGCACTCATCTCCAGTCATGCCCTGGTCTGGTTTGTCACGCACTTCCACGACCTGGCGCAGATTCTCACCGAGCGCAGCGGTGTGATCAATCTCCACTTAGCAGCAGACATCGCACCTGACGCATCTAAGATGACGATGCAGTACCGCATTGCAGAGGGTCCTGTTCCAGATCGTCGATATGGGCTTGTCCTCGCCAAGCTCGCTGACCTCCCTCCTTCTGTCTTGAATAAAGCGCGCACCGTCTCAGAGGCAATGGACCAGCTGGCTAAGCGTAGGAATAGCCCGTCGCGTGCTGTCGCTATTGCCCAGAAGCGGAAGTTGCTTTTGTCTCTGCGTGAACAGTTATTCCTTGCTCGTGAGGGCACGATGGATAATGCTAGTCTTCGGGCCTTGTTGATTAGACTGCAGGATGACTTTGTGCTGCGCATGACTGCAATCAACCGGGAAATGGAACTATACCCCGACGATGAAAGTAACACAGAGGCTCCTACTCTACCTGTTTCCAACCTGTCGGCCCATACACCTGAAACCGAAGCGTCGGGTTCAAGTGAGAGTTCCGAGGGAGGGGACGGCACACGTGTGTCTGAGCCCGTCGTGATCGAATCTGATTTGGATTCTGGTTCCGAGCATGTCACTGACAATGATAGCGTGGTGTTGATCTGATGGACTTGAAGTTGATGAGGATGGTAAGTGAATCTAGCCTTTTTATTCCTCCTATTCCTGTAGATCATATTTATGTACTTCTATGGTGACAGTCAACGGTTTGTGAAGCCCACATCATTCCCCAATATATGACACCAAACACATGAAAAATAACATGGATCACCTCTATACAATACATTGTATCTGCATTCGCTAGTAGGTACAGCAAGAAAAAAAAGAACAAAAATCTACCCCAACACATGATATACCTTTTAATGGCGCTCCCTTCATGCGGTCAATCAAACATAGGCCAAAGCAAGGCCCAATCAACATAAGAAACGTAAATCAATCAAGATGTGACAGTGAATTAGCCAAAGTGGAACAGGGTTTGCTTTCCCTTGTTCTTCTTTCCCTTTTTGCCACTACTTGAGTCGTCATTGCTGGGTTCAGCTGGAGAGGCGGTTCCGGAACTCGGGGCTGAACCCCATGCGTTTGGGGCAGGGCCGCGGTTATCATTCCAACGGACGGTGCCACGAGTCTTGCCAGCCATGAGAACATTGGGTTTGGGCGCCGCGGGGAGAGCGGGGAATAAATCAGCGCCGCTGGAGGCTGGGGCGCCGGGCGTACGACTGGAAGACGGTGCTGCAGGTGGTGGGCGGCTGACCGGGCTAGGCATTGCAGGACGGGAGAAAGATGGCGACGGGGCTGCTGCTGCCCAAGGGGTAGCAGCAGCGGTAGCTTTTCCACGGCGAGAGGAGGGGCCAGCTGCGGCAGAGAGGGGAGGGAAAGGGTTGGAAGGGGCGTTTGGGAGGGCGCCGCTTCTGCCCACGGCAGAGCGGGAGGATTTAGCAGTTGATGATTTCAACCGCAGGACGCGATTGCCGCCAGTGTTGACGGCGCCTGTTGACATGCCAGGTAAGAGACCACCGGCAGGAAGGGCTGGGTAATCCTCGTTGATGGCACGCCAGTCATTCCAGGCTTGCAAGAGACCGGAGCGTCTGGACTCGTCCTCGTAGATATCAGCGAGCTCCTTGATAAGCTTGCCCAGCTCGGTGCTGGATGTGTCAAATAACGAGAAGAAGGCATCGATGAGCTCTGTTGCCGAGATGGAAGAAGCGCGGTAACTTGATACTCTACTACGGAATTCGGCGAGTCTGGTGGCATCATTGCGGAGGAGGTTCGAAGCACGTTCAATCACAGCCTCATGACGCATTCGACGGGCATGGTCTTGTGGGGTAGCTGGCACGGAATTGGCAGAAATGTTCATGCCTTCAAATGCTGCAGTAGGAAGAGGCTGAGAGCGTGATGCGGGGGCAGACTGCACTGGAGTGGCAGCGGCGGATCGCTCTGGAGCACGCACGGGTTGGACGTCATCTCGAGTCAGCTGGCCGCCAAAGTTTCGTGTCGAGACAGACTGAGAACTCTGTATAGCCATTTGTCGCTGGTATGCAACTTCCGCACGGGTCATTGGCTGTGCACTGGAGACGGGCAATGGCTCGGCGTTTGGGTCACGGCCTCGACCGGCACCGCGACGCTGGCGTTGCTGTTGGTAAGGAGTGCGCATGTTATCGAATTCTGCCAGATCAACCATTCTCGCATCTCGCCGAATGTCTTTAGAAAGGCCTTCGGGATGTGCCTCGATTTGGTGAGCCTTCAAGTCCATTTGCGACTCGAAGACGACGAACTTTTTTTCCAAGCATTCTTTATCCAGGCAAGCGAAATGATCCTTATGGAAGTGATTCTCCAATGCGTTGTAGTCAATATAGTATTGTTGTTGGCGGTGGGAGGAGCGTCGGTCACAGATATGGCAACGTTCGTGTTTATCGCGACAGTGGGTGTACAGCTCGTCGTCACCATAGAACCGTTGACGGCAGAAACCACATTCGGGGTGTCCCTTGAAGCCGCTCTGGTCTATAGCTCCAGGCTTGTCATCGCCGGACCTTTCGTGCTTACGCAATTCCGCCATGGTGAACAGTTCATGCTCGTGGGTAAAGACCTTCTTGTTACGAGTACAAAGGTCACTATTCGGATAATACAGTCAGCTGCCTGTTCAAGAATTGCGCAGGTATGATATCGACATACCACATAACTTTGTTGTGCTTGCTCTTTACATGGCGATGCAAGTCTGGCCACCCCAAACAGGCCACATCGCAGTCCTCGTCTGGACAGTTGTATCGCAGCAAGAGCACTGTGTCTCCGAAGATTTCGTCGCTTTCATATTCGATACCAAGATTTTCGTCCGTCCGAGCAAAGTCTTTCTTGTTGAACTCCTCATATCGCCGCACTGGATCATCCGTGAAGATGACGTAGTTCGATTCAGTCTTATACAAGTCAGCACATGAAATAAACTTCTAACGAAAAGCACCTCGGCTCGTCGACAAACAGTCGCAAGATGACCATACCCTGCAATGAGCACAAGCCTTGTTCTTGTACAGTGCCCGCAACCGAAGCGCACAAATGTGACACGTCCTATGGTTACAGGGGGAGACCGACGTATGTTCAACGGCAGAAGCGCAGATAAAGCAGACTTCTCCATCATCTGCATCGTCCGTGGCCGCTTCTACCGGTTTCGTTGTTGCTGGCGTCGTGGCTTTCGAACGCTGAGTATCGGGATTGTTGGTCTGATCGGTATTCCGAGTTTGTCGGCCTGCATCGCCGCCGCCTCCACGACCACCGCCGCGTGTGCGAGGCTTAGGGCGTTTTTCTCCGTCGCCGGTATTGTGTTGCGAATCTGCACGGCCGGAGGGAGCTGCCCCTCCGCGGCCGCGACGACGCCCGCCGCGACCCTGGCTGGAAGAGACTGGGTTTGGGGCCTGGTTGTCGGCCATTGCGGGAGACGGGGAGGAATGTCACAATACAAGCTGCGGCTTGGCGTCAATATCAAGTGTGCTGGGGCTGTAGAGCGCTAGGGTTTTTAGATTGTGGTGGGGAAGTGGTTCTGGGGAAAAAGTGAGATGCCGCTGACTGATCCCGCATACCGCATTGGATGAGGATATGAGGTCTTCAACCGATTACCCTCTTTCTCTCTTTGATTACGCGAAAAATATCCTCTGATTGACTGAATAAACCATAGATCATATGTTCAAAAAGTATTGCTGTGTTTACCCATTCCCTTATGCAAGCACTATCCCGATGAGCACACATGTTGGACAGATTCATCGACTTGTTAGCGCCGGCCTGCTTTATCAGACCAAGATATGATGAGCTGAGAGCCGAATAAAAGACCGTCTGATCCATGCTGATAGAAAGGATATATAAATCATGGCAGGTTTAACAAACAAAGGAGAGCATCAGGAGCTGCGCAGAGAGCAGACGTCGAGATCGATGATGTCCAATGATATAATTGACCAAGGAGCCCATAGTGCAAGCTGTTACAATCTACAGTCCATGTGAGAAGGATCTGCGCATATAAATATCATGTAGGTAGTAGATTCGAGGACCTTTGGGACCATAAAATGACCTATGGAGGGCTACACCAACACCCGCTGGAGAGCATAAGCAAGTCAAATCAAAAAAGAAATAGAAATGGCGAGTGGAAATTGCTCAAAGTTCACGCCAGCATCCCCATGCATCGCAAAAAAGAAGAAAAGAGAACCATGACAGACGAAGGAAAATCGTTAAGAAACAGGGCTTGGTTTTGGAGCCTGCTCTTCCATAATGATCGAAGCCAATCTGGCAACCCCGAACTATTCATCGGGATTGTACAAATTCTGATTGAGAATTTTAGTCATAGTGAACATGTGGACTCGATCTTGCTTGAAGACAGCACGCATAGCATCGTCGCATAGGATTTGGCGGCGATCACTAGGGTCCTGAAGCTCGTTCTCGCGAATGTATTGCCAAACCTTTTTGACAGTTTGGGGTCGTGAAAGCTGTGTGAGGATTAGCAAACAAGGGCTAGTAATCAAGAATTTGGGGGGGGGGGGGGGGGGGGGGGTGT